GACACAGGTGGAAGCTGAGTACCCAAATGAGCCACAGAGATGTTAGAAAGAACTTTTTCAGTGTCAGAGTAGTTAGTAAATGGAATGCATTAGGAAGTGATGTGGTGGAGGCTGACTCCATACACAGTTTCAAATGTAGATATGATAGAGCCCAATAGGCTCAGGAATCTGTACACCAGTTGATTGACGGTTGAGAGGCGGGACCAAAGAGCCAGAGCTCAACCCCCGCAAGCACAATTAGGTGAGTACAATTAGGTGAGTACACAACTTGGTGGAAACTGAGTACCCACATGAGCCACAGGGACGTAAGAAGGAACTTTTTCAGTGTCAGAGTAGTTAACAGATGGAATGCATTAGGCAGTGATGTGGTGGAGGCTGACTCCATACACAGTTTTAAATGTATATATGATAGAGTCCAGTAGGCCCAGGAATCTGTACACCAGTTGATTGACATTGAGAGGCGGGACCAAAGAGCCAAAGCTGAACCCCCGCAAGCACAAATAGGTGAGTGTACACACACACACACACACACACACACACACACACACACACACACACACACACACACACACACACACACACACACACACACACACACACACACACACACACCGAGACGAAAACATTCAATTCCGTTAGATCGTAAAAACAGGAAATTGCCGTGCCTTGACACATTATTGATGCTATTAGTGGATGACCAGACCAGGACCCAGCCTGTAATTTGTGTCCTTGTGTGTGCGCGCGTGTGCGGGGGGAAAGGTGGTGAACGCAAGCACGCCACCCACCAGCAAGAACAGAAACATGTTGATTTATTAATGAAAGCAACATCGGGGTCGCCACTCGCTGCTTGAACACGTTAGCAATAATACCCGAAGCGAAAGCAAGCGAAAAAATGACATGATTTTATATTTTACGACGAAACTGAGACAAGTTCAACTTACAGTCTAGTTTTGGTGAAATTGTGGATACGGTTATATTAGCTAGTACGCCTTTTGATGGAAAGAAAATGGTTTGCTAGTATGTTTATTGAGACACGAAAGAAATACATCTCAAAGAGATAGAGTAGCTTAGGCTATTTCTACCCCCTTAAAAAAAATTGTGGTAAGGTTGTAGAGCAGCAGTAGTTATGAGTTAGTGCTGTAACCTACCTTGCTATGTACAGTGTGTCTACGGTACATACGAATGTTAAAATCAAATTAAAATAATTGTTACATATGAAACTAATGTTTTAAATCGTTTGGTAAACAGTATATAACATTATGTCCATAAAATGTTTATCACTCAGAATGTTCCGTAATATGCTTATTATTTGTGATATATATATATATAAGTCCACAATCGACTTGAGAATGGTCCAGGACGGACCGAAACGTCATCGTCCCTTCACCTTCTAGTGTGTGGTCTGGTCAACATTAGGATTAGGTTAGGCTGAGTTAGAGTAGACCAGACTGGGTTGTGTTAGGTTAGGTTAGTGTATAGAGTAACGATGACGTAAAGAAGTATACTATATATATATATAAAGTCTATAGTATACTTCTCTCATAGCCTACTCTGTCGTGGGGCGGTGAAGGAGGTGTTGGCGCCTCAGTGGCTGTAAAAGTCAACTGACAAAGGCGGCGTCTTCTTCAGACAGCAATATTTACTTCCTCGTAAGCTCTTAATAGTTTATTTTAAATAGAAACGGAGGAAATGTTGGGACCTGAATATTTTGGTGTTCCTCCACCAGATGTGGCGTCTCCTGGCTGCTTTGGGAAGTGTCCACTTGACACTATAAATGACAGTGTCAGACCACACTATAAAGGACATTTAGTATCCATTTGACACTATAATTGACACATAACCAGCACTATAACTCCTAAACAGACAACGTGAATCACAATATTACTGTCCTTACAGCTTCTAAATTAGGCGGGACTTAAACAAATATATATATAATGCTCTTTGTTGTCAAAATATGAGGAAAGGAACTGCAATTAGGCTGAGCTCATTTCTGCTCGAACCATCGTTCTGTTTACAACTTGGGTTAGGTTAAGATTACATGGCAGTAATATTATTATTATTATTAATTATTATGTCTTTATTATGAAATTAAATTGTTGTGAACCAGACAAGTTTTTATGTCGATATTCCTGGAATAATCTGACCGGGTTGAGGTGTCTGAGGTTGTTTATTGACATACGGGTCTTAGTGTTGGCGAGAGCGATTGGGGCGTCGCCAGGTGTGGACGGTGGGTGTTGCACCGTCTCCTTCCTGTCTGTTCCAGGTGTTGCACCGTCTCCTTCCTGTCTGTCCCAGGTGTTGCACCGTCTCCTTCCTGTCTGTTCCAGGTGTTGCACCGTCTCCTTCCTGTCTGTTCCAGGTATTGCACCGTCTCCTTCCTGTCTGTCCCAGGTGTTGCACCGTCTCCTTCCTGTCTGTTCCAGGTATTGCACCGTCTCCTTCCTGTCTGTTCCAGGTGTTGCACTGCCTCCTTCCTGTCTGTTCCAGGTGTTGTACCGTCTCCTTCCTGTCTGTTCCAGGTGTTGCACCGTCTCCTTCCTGTCTGTTCCAGGTGTTGCACCGTCTCTTTCCTGTCTGTTCCAGGTGTTGCACCGTCTCTTTCCTGTCTGTTCCAGGTGTTGCACCGTCTCCTTCCTGTCTGTTCCAGGTGTTGCACCGTCTCCTTCCTGTCTGTCCCAGGTGTTGCACCGTCTCCTTCCTGTCTGTTCCAGGTGTTGCACCGTCTCCTTCCTGTCTGTTCCAGGTATTGCACCGTCTCCTTCCTGTCTGTCCCAGGTGTTGCACCGTCTCCTTCCTGTCTGTTCCAGGTGTTGCACCGTCTCCTTCCTGTCTGTTCCAGGTGTTGCACCGTCTCTTTCCTGTCTGTTCCAGGTGTTGCACCGTCTCTTTCCTGTCTGTTCCAGGTGTTGCACCGTCTCCTTCCTGTCTGTTCCAGGTGTTGCACCGTCTCCTTCCTGTCTGTTCCAGGTGTTGCACCGTCTCCTTCCTGTCTTTTCCAGGTGTTGCACCGTCTCTTTCCTGTCTGTTCCAGGTGTTGCACCGTCTCCTTCCTGTCTGTTCCAGGTGTTGTACCGTCTCCTTCCTGTCTGTTCCAGGTGTTGCACCGTCTCCTTCCTGTCTGTTCCAGGTGTTTTACCGTCACATTCCTGTCCCAGACACTGCACCGTCCCCCCCTTCCTGCGCTCTATATAAACTGTGCCATGAGGTCAAACCGAGTGTGTGCAGTAATTAATGACCGTATGCCGTCTGGAAGTCTCACAATCCGGTGGAAGTTTCCCAAGTGACAAGACTGGCTTATCACTGCTCTAGGACACAAGGTCAGACCAGCCACCTGCGTCAGAGTCAGAAAATTGTAACCAAAGCAAGACTCGAAATAGGTTCAAGGTCCTTTAGGTAGGTAATTAGTGAAGATAAGAAGAGGTTGACCCTTGTCTAGAAGGGTCTTGGGGCTGAGTGTGGCACAGGAAGTTGTAAAATCGGCACCCTTGGGGCCCAACACGTGGGCAGAGTCACGCCTTGAGAGGCACTTAAGGGCAGAGTGCTTTGGGCGGGCTGGTCGACAAGTCACTTGAGGGGGAAGGAGAAGACCAGCTCTCAAGATCTGATGCCTCGTATTGCGGTCATCTGCCACTCAGATGTAGTGCTTCGATCCTGTGGCCAGCTGTCGGGAAGCTCTCACAGTTGACAGCAACCTCTCCCAGCTGTCAGAACCTGTGAAGTAGTTCTCAGCTGCCGAACGTTCTTTCAGCGGTTAGATAAAGTTCTTCTCTCAGTATCAGAACTCGCCTTCAGCTGTCAGGATAAATCTGCCTGCCGTATGTGTCTTCTCTCAGCTATCAGGTCCCTCCGGCAGCTGACAGAGCCATCAGGAAGTGCTGTGAGCCGTGTCTGGCTAGGTAGGACTCCTTCCACCCTCCCTCATGGCTGACGTGGACTGGCCACTGCTTGCCGCATCTAACCTCCAGGATCAATAGCACAGCTGCATTCTCCAGTCATATATGCGGTATTACCTTCAGCTGCTGGGAGTATACCGCTGCATACCCAGTGGTATACTCCTCTCGCTGGATTAGATGTGACGGCAGTAAGGGTTGCAGTTGGGGCAGATGATGATATGATAGGTGGTAGTGGTAGTGGTGGTGGTCAGTGGACCTCTAAACACCTTCCCTATCATCAACCTGCCCACCTAACACGTTCTTGACCTCACGCCTTCTCCCAAGATGTCCTGTGCATCCCGCTCTTCGTCCTGCTCCCATACTCTCTCAAGTCACCTTTTGTTTACACCGCATGATGTTCACTCTCCTTATATCCACTCACCATCACTCTATACCCGAATACCACACGTTCTCCCACTCTACCAAACAGTAGGTGGTTCGACCTGCCTCTCTTCCCCTTCGTTACAGGGACAAGAGGAATGGACGAAGACCCATTTTCTCAAACATTGTTACTACTGAAGATCAAAATATCTTCAGCTCTGGGGCCCTGCACCTGCCAGGGACTCAGGTGTACCTCAGGTGACTCAGGTACAAACCTGCCTCAGCAAAGGCAAGTTTGTATAGCTGTGTGGAATAAATAAACAAATCAGAAACAGGTTGGAAGCAGAAAACTTTTAAAAGAAGAAATGTTTAATGTGTAGTCTTATAGAAATAGCAATTAAAAGTGGAATGAAGTAAATGTTATTAGAGCAGGAATTAACAGAAATTAGAGGAGGAACTAGCATGCCTGATAATGAATAGAGTGGAGTGAGATAATAACTTCTCTCATTAAAGTTGAAGAAGTTTGGGTGAGAGTTTCACGTCTGAGAGAGTGAAGTTGGTGAGCGTTAATAATGAATATACATATAACGTACATGGTAATTCACGAGGGAGCGCTGTACTCCTGGTCATAGAAAGCAGTGGGATACTACTGCCAATGACTGCTGGAGGTTATTACTGTATAAATAACTGTTTTTAGTATTCACTATAAAGACAAGAATACAATATTCAGTGTTTTTCCTTTTGCAGGTTGAAGCATGATGTGGCAAGGCCAGGGTGGTGGTGGATGCTTCACAGTGGGGGCCTGTCTGGGAGTTTTGCTTCTTCATCTGCTGGGGTAAGTTCCGCTCTTAGTGGTACCTATATTGACGACCAGTGGCTATGCAATCCTTTAGCCTTATCTTGTGCAATTTGCTTATACCCAGGTTATTAATTTCTAGTAGTTGATGTAATCAAAGTTTCTTCTTTTCGTAAGTTAAATAATAACTAAAATATAGGTAATTATTTCATGATTAACTTTGATAATAATATTTTGTGTTCTGGTATCCTTTGGACTGAAACTATAGTCTGTTTAGAGATTATAAATTAGATAAAGGTTTTGGTTGCTCAGAGATATCTAAATTATTTAGTATTAATATATTCTGTATCTTTACTCCGTGGTCTCTCATGCTGACTAAAAGAGTAGCGATGGGACCAGGTTTTAGACCACATTTAGACCAGGTTTTTGCAACATTTCTGTCATGATCATGAAGTTATATGAATCAACTTTTTCCTCAACCACTTGAAAATTGTTTACTGTAAGTGAAAAGTTGACTTCTCATGGAGTGGAAGTTTGGCAAGGTGAAGGCTTCACGCCATCCACAACTTCTACCAGTATTCACTGTCTTTTGCTTGCTAAACATTGACCTGAACTAATGTTTACTAGACACAAATGACCACCGTTCTTGTGCCAGGGAAACTGCCAAGCTCATCATCATTAAAATTTCTCAGAACTTTGTCCTTGCTGAAGTTGAATTTCAGTAGCCATTGTTTCACTTGTGATGTATGAGCGTTCCTCGAGACCCTCCCCATCACCTACACAACATGAGGGGACCCACTCCCACTGGTGTCGCCCAGTTGTTGAACCCGGCCGGGACAACACTCACTGTCTTCCCTCATTCATTCTACCTCACAATGATGATTGATTGATGAAGATTAAGCCACCCAAAAGGTGGCACGGGCATGAATAGCCCGTAAGTGGTGGCCCTTTTGAGCCATTACTAATATCAAGAGCCGATACTGGAGATCTGTGGAGGTGCGACTACACCCTGCGTGACGGGAGATGTCTCCCGTGACATCACAATGAATCTTTGCCTCCTTTTATGTAGGGGGCAATCACTTGGGCTGGACGGTAGAGCGACGGTCTCGCTTTATGCAGGTCGGCGTTCAATCCCCAACCGTCCAAGTGGTTGGGCACCATTCCTTCCCTCCGTCCCTTCCCAAATCCTTATCCTGACCCCTTCCAAGTGCTGTATAGTCGTAATGGCTTGGTATTTTCTCGTGATAATTACCTTGCCTCCTTTTAAGTAGATAGTTCTGTATTCAGCTACATCCACCTTATTAATGTCCTCATTCCTGTCGTGCTTCGCCTCGCCCTGATGTGTCTTTTCAACACTTACATGTTGTTAAGCACCGAGAGAGAGAGAGAGAGAGAGAGAGAGAGAGAGAGAGAGAGAGAGAGAGAGAGAGAGAGAGAGAGAGAGAGAGAGAGAGAGAGAGAGAGAGAGAGAGATTGCTAGAGCCATATTTACTTGTTATCAGTTCGTCCGAAGTGTTTGCTCACTGTATATAAGACATTTGTTGCCTCTCAGAGTCACTGGTGTTTTTCTCCTTCCTCGTTGGTCCTCCTCAAGTGGAATAAACTCTTCCTACCCTTCCTCCCCTTCTGTCTGTCAGTATCTTAAACGTTGTGATCATATCTCTTACTGTCCTTCACTCTTCCAGTGGTGCTACATTGAGCTACCTTTGCTCTGTTATAACTGAACTCTTTTGTTTGTGACGGCATTAACGTAGTTTGTGGGCCTTAGCAGTCTTCTTGGGTTTCAGTAAGAGAAGGTTGAGAGATTGGCTAAAAGACTGATGGAGATGTGTGATCTCACACACTTATTCTGTCTTCATGTGTGTGTGTGTGTGTGTGTGTGTGTGTGTAGGGTGAGGAAGGATAACTATCCACGGCTGGATCTGGGCCAATCCTCTTCTCCCCCCTCCCCCACTCCCTCCATCCCCTCCCCCACTCCCTCCATCCCCTCCCCTCCCAACCCCCCTCCACAGTTTTCCTTCCTAGTCCCATGATATTAAGGAAGATGTATTATTGCTTCTCTCCACCATGCCCCCATCCCGTCCCCCCCTCTCTCTCTCTCTCTCTCTCTCTCTCTCTCTCTCTCTCTCTCTCTCTCTCTCTCTCTCTCTCTCTCTCTCTCTCTCTCTCTCTCTCTCTCAGAGGTTAATAATATTCCTTCATCTGTGTGCTTGCGTGTGATTGACAAAGAGCGTCGTGTAAAACCGCCATCGAAGGTTCTAGAAGGTTCATGAACCAGCCATTTGAATAAATACAAATTTCCTTGAACCTCCCTAGCATGACTGAATGTAATTTTTGTGTTTCAGATGTTTTGAGACGGCTTCTTATGGCTGTCAGGTAAATAAATGAACACGAAGCACGAGAGGCTATGTAGCAATACACATATAAGTACATAAACACATACATATGCATTCATATATTCATACATTAGTAAAATACATGAAACTTCAGAGAGCCTATTGGCCTATACGAGGCAGTTCCTATTTATATCCACCCAAACTCGTTCGTACATTCATATAGACAGACATATTTTCATATATATACATGTTTGTTCTGTCGCATCTGTACATGCTGGGCCGCGCTTCAGCTCTTGGGTCCCTCCTTCCTAGTTACCGTTCATTGCATTAATCAACCGCTTGCTAATAAAGACTGGTTCCAAGAGCTAAATTTCGATCCCGCAAGCACGCACACATACATACATACATACATACATACATACATACATACATACATACATACATACATACATACATACCTTTGCAAGTATTTTCCTGTTTTTCCAAGGAATCCTTGTATTTTTCTCTGTAGATACTTAAGCATACATTCGCGCGCTATAAACATATAATTTGCTAAAAGACTGTTCCCATCGAGAATTGACTGCCTCCGTCCGTAGTTTCAAAAGCAGCCAATTAACAAAGGAGGCGTTTGTCATGGCACTATAGATGGGCGACAGTTTGAAAGGCGGGCCACGTACCAGGAGCTGGAGCTTTGTTAAGCAGGTACACACCCACAACTAATGTATATCTTGCTCTGGCCAGCACAAATATTTTTCAAAAGCAGTAATAACAGCCTTGTTGAACACGCCTCCACTCCGTCTCGCGCGCGCGTGTGTGTGTGTGTGTGTGTGTGTGTGTGTGTGTGTGTGTGTGTGTGTGTGTGTGTGTGTGTGTGTGTGTGTGTGTGTGTGTGTGTGTGTGTGGTGTGTGTGTGTGTGTGTGTGTGTGTGTGTGTGTGTGTGTGTGTGTGTACGCGCACGCGTGCATATGTGTGTGAAGGAAAACTATTTTGCCTATTAGGCACATAGGACCTTGCATACTATGCCAAGAAGTGCGGTTCTATCTATTAGGCACGACATATATATATATATATATATATATATATATATATATATATATATATATATATATATATATATATATATATATATATATATATGGATGAGTTTAGTTGGATTGGGAAACTATAGAATGCCAGTTGACCACTAGCTACCTCTCACAAGCCTACAGTCTCCTTAAATCTTGTCCTATCTTCCTCACCCTCCACCTTACCCCTTGCTCTGCCTCCACCTCGTCCTTGTCACCCTGGGGAGCACCTTGACCCTCAGGGACACTAACTTAATAATGACTCATCCGCCCAGAAGTATCTATCTTCGCGGTGACCGCTGATGGAGTTGTGGCAGCCTAGCTTAGACCTCCTAGTGCTCTCCCTTCCTGTCTGCGTTATTCCCTCCCTGTCTCCCTTCCTGCGTTACTCCCTCCCTGTCTGCCTCTATTTCTGCGGCCTTCAGACCCTCCCAAACAGCCGCGACTACAGCCGCAATATCAATGGCGGTCAGCTCCGTAATGACAGGTACGGATCTGTTACTTTAACAGAACTCCTTGCTGCCAACACGGGGAGGGCTCATCTCACTAACAGGTCAGCACCTGAGTCTGGCAACAATAGCTAGCCTGATCCATGTGTTCTCTCTCTCTCCCCTCAGGCAAGCAGAAGGCAACGCCCAGAAGCGCTTCCTGGAAGAAAAACTAAAGGACTATGACGTCAACACGTGGCCCAACTCTGAGGCAAGCAGTGAGTATTGCTGTATGGTGCTCCTTGTAACCTTGTCCCACTACCACCAGGGGTCTCTGGTGTGGTCCCACTACCACCAGGGGTCTCTGGTGTGGTCCCACTATCACCAGGGGTCTCTGGTGTGGTCCCACTACCACCAGGGGTCTCTGGTGTGGTCCCACTATCACCAGGGGTCTCTGGTGTGGTCCCACTACCACCAGGGGTCTCTGGTGTGGTCCCACTACCACCAGGGGTCTCTGGTGTGGTCCCACTATCACCAGGGGTCTCTGGTGTGGTCCCACTACCACCAGGGGTCTCTGGTGTGGTCCCACTATCACCAGGGGTCTCTGGTGTGGTCCCACTACCACCAGGGGTCTCTGGTGTGGTCCCACTATCACCAGGGGTCTCTGGTGTGGTCCCACTACCACCAGGGGTCTCTGGTGTGGTCCCACTATCACCAGGGGTCTCGGGTGTGGTCCCACTACCACCAGGGGTCTCTGGTGTGGTCCCACTATCACCAGGGGTCTCTGGTGTGGTCCCACTACCACCAGGGGTCTCTGGTGTGGTCCCACAACCACCAGGGGTCTCTGGGATGGTCCCACTACCACCAGGGGTCTCTGGTGTGGTCCCACTACCACCAGGGGTCTCTGGGATGGTCCCACTACCACCAGGGGTCTCTGGTGTGGTCCCACTACCACCAGGGGTCTCTGGGATGGTCCCACTACCACCAGGGGTCTCTGGTGTGGTCCCACTACCACCAGGGGTCTCTGGGATGGTCCCACTACCACCAGGGGTCTCTGGTGTGGTCCCACTACCACCAGGGGTCTCTGGTGTGGTCCCACTACCACCAGGGGTCTCTGGTGTGGTCCCACTACCACCAGAGGTCTCTGGTGTGGTCCCACTACCACCAGGGGTCTCTGGGATGGTCCCACTACCACCAGGGGTCTCTGGTGTGGTCCCACTACCACCAGGGGTCTCTGGTGTGGTCCCACTACCACCAGGGGGTCTCTGGTGTCTCAAAAAATACCATGGTCTCTTAAGTTTGTACTGAAAGTGATAGACACACAAGAGCCATAGACCATCCACCTGGCCTCGCCACAGTGTGAGGCACTCTCCTCCCTCGTCCACACACTAGTCGGGGTCAACAGTCACAGCTACACCACATCTTCAGGGAAGGTGAACCCACAGATGAGATCACATCTTGCACCCGAAAGATCCAACCCTTTCTCTCACCCAAACGCACTTACGCTAACCAACATGTGTGTGTGTGTGTGTGCGCAGGGTGATAGATGACTTGGTATAAGTCAGTGGAGTATTAATTACGCAGCCCGTCCTCCTAAGACTTCCCAACGTCAAAAAATTGTTGTTCTAAAGCGTCCTTATCCTAACCGACCAGAGCTGACCCAAAACAGAAAACGGGACAGAATGTCAATTTTGCGAGCCATTTTCTAGTACGGCAATGTTTGGCCTTAGGTAGAGTATACGTCAAAAGGCGACGTTCTATTATTATGACAAGTATGAGCATTGCAATATGATGTAAGGTGAGGAAAGATGTGGGCCAACGCCACCACTAGCGTCGTGCAAAGCCCCTGCTGGTCCGCCCTCGCTGGCAAAAATAACAACACTGCAAAATGGACAAGTTGGCAAGGGGGGACCCCCTGAAGTCGTTAGTCACACTGACTTAGTCACAAAAACAATTTGAGCCAATGATATCTCGGGAAGTCGTAGGCGACATGTTGTTATTGGCTGGCTTAGCCACTGTTGTTGTCTAGCGAGGGCGTGCAGGAGAGCTCGCCCGCTTTCACAAGACACACGGGAATGTAATGTGCAAATAGGACCACCTGGAGGATGGCGAAGGGTACCCAGGATACCCTTAAAACGAAACCCGTCTTGATGGTAACTAAAGGTCGTGATGGGGGAGCTGAGAGCACCAGGAGAGATAGCTACCCCAGTGCACTGCAGTGCCCAGTACACCGGGCACTGCACCTTCCCCACGTCTTGCCCTAGCACTATATAGAGCATCGTGCACAGACGTCGTGCACCACATGCAGTAATGGGCGACGAGCCAGGAGAAGTTACGGCCGAGGCAGAGGTCTTTATGACACCGTGAAGACTCGTAACCCTCCCGGCATGCCAGCTTCACCTCCCCATAACTCCCAAGACCATACTGACAAAAATATTCATGTGTATTTAGGCTTTTCTTGATTAAGGGCAGGAATGTCGGGGCTGTTTTTCCGTAGTTGGGTCGTCCGCTTGTTGCTCTTGTTAGGGCTTAATTGTCCGGTGTTTGGATAGTAATGTGTGTGTGTGTGTGTGTGTGTGTGTGTGTGTGTGTGTGTGTGTGTGTGTGTGTGTGTGTGTGTGTGTGTGTGTGTGTGTGTGTGTGTCTACCCTATACAGCCTTTGTGAGACTTATTTTTTTATTTTTGGGTATGCTGCCCCTGCATGGACCCAAAAACGCGAAGCAAAACTATAAAAAGTCCAAAAATATGCAACAATGCTCGTTCCTGAGCTAAGGGGACTGAGCTATGAAGAACGACTGAGGGAACTGAACCTCACTACACTGGCGGAAAGAGGGAATAGGGCGGACATGATAGCGACGTACAAGATACTTAACAGGATTGCCAAAGTAGTTATAGAAGCAGTGTTCAAATTAACGGACAGTAGAACGTGAGAGGACATAATTGGAAACTGTAAATACAGATGAACCACAGGGATCTGTGAAAGAACTTTTAGACCGAGAGTTCGTAAATAAGTGGAACGGACTAGATGAGGAAGTTTTTGAAGCCAATTCGACTCACAGCTGTAAATGTAAATATGGCGAGAGAAAAAGAGTGAAACGTCTCTGCTTTGAGCTAATGATGATTAGAAGGCGGGGCTTAAGAGCAGATGCTCAACCCTGCATGCTCACCTAGATGAGTGTACACACACACACACACACACACACACACACACACACACACACACACACACACACACACACACACACACACACACACACACACACACATCGCCAGTGTTCAATAAACTATCAACTTTACGAGTGTCTGGCGGTGAACACCATCACTGTGTCAGAAGTAATGTTGGTCACGATGTTTACTCGCCTCTACTGGATTTAAATGTTTGTTGTTTCTCTAATTTAGGGCTCATGTTTCTTGTTTAGTATGTACGCCGCGTGCGTACCTGGCGGTGCTGAGGTCTGTCTACGGGCCGAGATCCAGCTCTACGGTCTCGCCTCATAGTTACTGTTGTAGTAATAGTAACATCATGCACTCTCGGGAGACTATGGAGTTGCGCTTTGATTGTCGAAGCTGAAGTGTCCTCTCCAGGGCGCAAAGCCTGGGTAGGTCAGTATGGAGAAGCTGTTACCCATACAGCAGGTCTCCCCTCTCCACGATGCTGAAATAGTCCAAAGGCGAACGCCAATATGATTGGTTCTATCGCTGTTGCAGGAGCTGCCAGAACGAGGTTAAAGTCAACAACGAACTGCTTTCGGGGCTCCAGCTCCGGATTTTTCCTCGAGGTTGACTCCTGAAGCGCGTCCCAAAAGTGGGTATGGCCGCGAGGCAGCGGAGATTTGAGATCAGGGTTCTCCTTTTCCCTAGATGAGCTGCCTTCCCTGGCTGTCGAGTCCCATCTACCCGGAGCAGCTGGTTGTACGGCGCCAGAGGCACGAGTAGTTACTGTACCTGGTGCATCTATACACCTGACTTTCGGGTATACTAACAGGCTCTTAAAGCTGTGAATGGTGGCTGTTTCCACCGCCTCTGGTTCAAGAACACCGCGTGTTCACCATTGACTGAATAAGACGAGTATTTCCTTGCATTTCTCTGGCTCATGTCTGTGTTTCCCTTTCCACCAGTGTTCCCTAGTTCTCGTGTCTCCTAGTTCTGTTACCTCAGTATCTTGTACGTTATGATCTTATCCCCGTCTGGCGCATGAATCATAGCTTGATTGATCAGGTACCCCTTTTGGAGGTGTTTATCAAGTTCTCTTTTGGACACCGTGAGAGGTCGGCTAGTAATGTCACTTATGGATAGTGAGAGAGTGTTGCAAAGTCTTGGTCCCTTAATGTTGGCAGAATTGTCTCTTAGCGTACCTTTGGCACCTCTGATTTTCAACAGGCTAGTCTGCACTTCCTGCCATGCCTCCTGGCCTCATGGGGGAGTTATTTCCGTGAGTAGATTTGGAACCAGTCCCTCTAGTACACAATAGAAGACTATGTCAGTACTAGAGTTGACAGAGTAACTCGTAACACAGACGTGGTAATCTTCTGTAGCGACAGAAGAAAGGCACAGAGATAGGGTTCTGTGTCTCCATGTTTATCATTGACTTCCCTGAAACTGTGACATCTTTCTGTAATCTCACTTTATTTGTGTGTTTGGAACGAAGTGAACCTTTCCATATGAGCGCTAAGACCCCTTCTCTCGTCACCCTCTGGAGCAGTATGGAGGTCACCAGCCGCAGGCCCAGTATACATGTGGTTTGTTTAATGTTTCAGGTGGGAGGGGCAAGCGTTCCAGCCTGCCAGCAGGAGTACAGTTGCCAGAGACACCCCCGGGTAAGGCAGCCGAGCCCCCCTCAAGCACACACCACCCTCCCCTACTGGCTCTGGCTCGATTCCCTCTAGTGCCATAGTGCTCGGCCGCTGTGTTCGCTTGCCCCCACCCACCTGCTGCCCACTCACCCACTCACCCACCCACCCACATGTTTCTAACATGTTGCTAGCCTAACATGACCACTTATAGGTAACTTCTGTCATCGATATGTATTCTTTAACACACACTCACACCATACGCCATACACAGTTTCAGTTGTAGATATGATAGAGCCCAGAAGGCTCAGGAACCTGTACACCTGTCAATTAACGGTTGAGAGGCGGGACCAAAGAGCCGAAGCTCAAACCCCTGCAAGCACAACTAGGTGAGTACAAACACACACACACACACACACACACACACACACACACACACACACACACACACACACACACACACACACACACACACACACACACACACACACACACTGATGATTTTCGCAGTAAATTATATTCTATTAAAATATGATTTATTGCGAGCCACGTTATAGACTCATCGTTTGCATATTCTGTTAATTATATGTATAACCGCTAATGTTTGCACATGTGTAAATGTTCCATGAATATATATTTGGTTGAGCTTGTACTACTAAAGTTGTGTAAGTCATTTGTTCCACACTGTCCTGTCGGTTTCTGAGAGAGCAGCAGCTCACTAAAACTGTGTGTCGAATTGGCTTTGAAAACTTCATCTAATCCGTTCCAGTCATCTACGACGCAAAGTGTGTTTCAAGTTGTCAGTTATGACCTCTCGATCGACTGTTCTTCAATTGGAATACTTGATTCTATATCTAATCTTTGTCAGTTCCCTCCTTGGTATTTTGTACATTGTTATCATATTTGTCCCCCAGATTCTTTCCTGAAATGTGGTGAGGTCCTGACTCCCTGTGTGTGTGTGTGTGTGTGTGTGTGTGTGTAAAGAGGTATGAGAGAGGGCAAGCGGCCAGTTCTCAGGTATTTAATTAAGCTCTGGCAAGAAGAGTGACTTGCATGCTAAATTAGTTCTCTATGGTTCATGGAATGTGCATTAAATGGTGTATGTATGTATGTATGTATGTATGTATGTATGTATGAAATGAGAGCCCTTCTGTATACTAATGTGAGTCTTGCAAATAAAGCTTTTGAGTCTAGATTATATATTTATCACGATATATGACCACGTGTTGTGGTATTAATATGACTTTCTCATGTGAATAAGGTGTGACATTTTGTGTAAACTAAATTATAAATATATAACCTTTTATGAATTGAGTTTTGATTTGATTTCAACACAGATGTGCAATTGTCTTCAGGATTTTGATCAAGATGTGTGTGTGTGTTTATGTATATGGAACTGCGGCGTGGTTGGTCAGACCGTCAACGTTGTTCTGCTGATAATTTAGCCGTTGATGTGTGCCACTGTAATTAGTGCCAAGTACTTAGTGCCACTGGTGTTAGTTCTGGGGTTGTGTCTTCTCGCTAGTCTTATTCATTTTCTAAGGTAGAAAATTGCCTTCCCTTCATTCTGTTCATTATTTGGGTCCTCGATCATTCCTCCTCATAAATTGCATTTTGTCTGGGTTAAAGTCTACTAGCCATTTCTCAGACTATTTCTAGAGACAGTCTAGTTCGTCTTGCAATGTGTTGAAGTCCTCAGTTCTGGTCCTTATTAGTTAAGTATAAACGTTGATAAGAATGAGCTTTCTGTCTCTTATGAGATCATATACGTAAGATAGGAACAGGATGGGTCCCAGTACTGAGCCTTGAGGTACTCCACCCATTACCTCAGTTCTGAAATTTATGTCCTCTTAATGTGGCTCTTTGGCACCTACCAGGAAGGTACTCCTTCACCCAGCTTAGCGTGTGTGTGTGTGTGTGTGTGTGTGTGTGTGTGTGTGTGTGTGTGTGTGTGTGTGTGTGTGTGTGTGCACGGAGAGTGTGGTGCCTGTGCCAACATTGCTGCCGGTGTTGAGGCCTGACTGTGGCACACCATCCTCCCTCCCTCCCCCTCCCTTCATCGCCTCTACTTCCCTTCCCCTAACCCCTTACCTTCACCTTCCTCTTTGGCATTATCTCCTTGTCAACCTCCTACCTCATTTTTCTCTCTCTCGCACTCTCATACTGATGGAAGTAACAGAGATGGCTTTTGTGAGACTGGTCGGGGCTCCGTGGCGTGAGGGGGCTGGCCTGGGGCTGGCCTGGGGGCTGGCCTGGGGCTGGCCTGGGGGCTGGCCTGGGGCTGGCCTGGGGGCTGGCCTGGGGGCTGGCCTGGGGGCTGGCCTGGGCTCACCTCTCACTACACTGACACAATTGGCAGTCTAAAGAGAACTCTAAACTTGTCTTATTCATAACATCTCTGACCAGTGGGGTCATGTGTGTGGAATTGTGTATGTATATGTAGAGGAGCACGCCACTCCTCCCTCCTCCTGCTGCTGCTGCTCCTCCTCCTGCTCCTCCTAGTCCTCCTCCTCAGGTAAGCTCACCCAGGAAATACCACAGCAAGTCACCCTCTCTGACCTATGAGTAATTCTGCCATTTCCTTCTCATTTTAAACTGTGCAAGACTTTTTTTGCGGTTCATTACCTGCCTACACACTCTCTCTCTCTCTCTCTCTCTCTCTCTCTCTCTCTCTCTCTCTCTCTCTCTCTCTCTCTCTCTCTCTCTCTCTCTCTCTCTCTCTCTCTCTCTCTCTCTCCGTGTCACACTGCACACGGCAGTAATCACAGTTGAGCCTTAGGAATGTAACTGACAATGAATGAAAATCACTGTCATTTGTTGCTCTGCAAGACACCCATCAACGTCCTGCAACACTGCCCGTGTGTGCCCGTCACGTGAGGGGAGGGGGGAGTGGGGGGGGGATGAAGAGAAGGTCGATGCCCCAGTACCAGTACTGCTTGTCACCCCCGAGTACTTCTCTCTCCCCGTCTCCATTTCTGCGTTCCACCTCGTCCCCCCCTCACCAGATCCCCCCCCACCTCGTCCCCCCTCACCAGAAGCCCCCCCCCCACACCTCGTCCCCTCCCTCACCAGACCTCTCCTCCCATCACTTCCCAGATCTCTGGGAAGTGATGGGAGGGCTAAACTCTCAGTAATTAAGTCTTCCGTTGTTAGTGTCTGCCTGCGGCTCTAGCAGTTGTCTCCTATTGAGTGGGTTAACCCCATCAACCCCCCAAAACAGCTGAGTGGGCTACACCAAGTGTTTACACTCAGTGACACCAGGCTGTTTCTCACAAAAGAGACTAGATCATTTCAACTTCTCCCTGGAGCTTGAGCCCAACCCCTTGTGTTCGCGTGCTGGAACCCTCATACTAAGAACCCAACTGAGAATTGAGTATAAACATGACCTATTTTCTTGGGTACGTAAAGGCTAGTTTTGGTCTCCCGGCTGTTTAGTCTTAACTTGCCCCCCATTTGCCCTCAGCCATTAATTACCAATTAAAGTTATTTGTCTCATTTTGTGTTGTTTCTCGACAGAGGCGACGACGGTGAAGATCCAGATGTTCATCAACTCCTTCGGCTCCCTCAACGCTGCTAACATGGTGAGTATCTGTCTGTCTGTCTGTCTGTCTGTCTGTCTGTCTGTCTGTCTGTCTGTCTGTCTGTCTGTCTGTCTGTCTGTCTGTCTGTCTCTGTCTCTCTCTCTGTCTCTCTCTCTCTCTCTCTCTCTCTCTCTCTCTCTCTCTCTCTCTCTCTCTCTCTCTCTCTCTCTCTCTCTCTCTCTCTCTCTCTCTCTCTCTCTCCACTTCATGATGCTGGCGCCAGAATTGGGCCGAAAAATTGGAAGTGCATATTTTTCATAATGTTAATGAGCTGTCAGAGAGCAAATTTGGTGGCGTGTGAGAGATGTGTCAAGAGACAACTTGGGTGATATAGACAAGTATAGAACTACAAGCATGTGGCAGGTCAGGGGTAGATGTAACAGTGGGGGGGAGGGGGTGGGGGTCAGGTGTAGGTAACACGTGTAGGAGAACAGGTGTAGAACGACAGGGGGGGGGGTGTTTATGGTGCAAGTATAGAAGGAGCAACGTATGTGTGTTAACAGGTGTGTGCAAGAGATCAAGTATATGTAGGTCTATTATGTGAGCCAGGTGTGTGGTGGCCACATCCAGCAGTACAAAACAGAGGCAGGTGTGTGTGTGTGTGTGTGTGGGTGTGTGTGTGTGTGTGTGTGTGTGTACAAGCACATAGTGACCTGGTGTGTGCTTGTGTATCTCGACAGGACTACAGCATCGACGTGTTCCTCCGCCAACACTGGAACGACCCCCGTCTTAGCTTCAACCACACCGGCAAGGACAGGTTCACCATCACCAACCCCGAGGTTAGTCCTTCCTCACCATCCTAATATAGTCATCCTGGCTCACTATTCTCTCCTCTTATTATTACATTAGCCAACGCTAAGTCAATGCCGCTCCTGTGTTATCAACGTTGATTGAACGTTGACTTAATGTGGAACCAACGCTGCATTTGGGTATTGTGGCCGCTGGTAGCGTCAGCCACCATACACACAGGTCATGCTAGGTCAGGTCAGTTCAGGTCAGGTCAGGCTAGGCCAGGCCAGGCCAAGCCAGGCCAGGCCAGGGCGGCACCGTGGGCACGTCCGGTCATCATATGCTCATTTGTTTCATGGAGGATCGACTTCTCTTACTGCATGTATAACATAATAATATGACATTGAGAATTATAATGATATATAATATTTGCTATATACTTTTATTTGTTTCAGATAATGTTGTTACAATGATTACACATTATGTATTTATATTTGATATTGAGTCACTAATGGAGCTAGGAACGCGGGAAAGGGGGAAGGGAAAGGAACTATGAGGAGAAAGCTAGATGAGAGAGAGGAAGAAGGATAGCTTGATGAGAGGTGGGAGAACGCGGGAACGGTAAGAGCGACGTTCTTTCTTGGCGACGTTCTCAACTAGAGCGAGAGAACGGAAGTCTTGGAAGGCCGAGAATATTGGGTTAAGTAATACATTAACCGGTCAAAGACACTCTTCACAGGCACCTGGTCCTGGCCGTCGCCGGTCAAAGACACTCTTCACAGGCACCCGGTCCTGGCCTTCGCCCCCATTAAGGCTTGAAGGCCTTCGGGAAGGACTTTAGTGAAGATGAAAGCTTGTTGCAGGATTTACTGGAGAAGAGAGAGGAGAGTGAGGCGGCGGGGTGGAGCATGACAAGATAGTGAGAGAGAGTCCCCGGGACTTTCTCGAGGCAAGAGACAACTGGAGCCGTCACAGTGATACTGAGCCAGAGGCCAGGGAGGAGGAGGAGGGGATCTTAAGATGACAGGTCACCTCACAGAAGATGTGTGTAAGGTCCACTTAACCAAGGAATAGGTGAGGAGGTGGCTGCCAGGATGTGAAGGCTCTCTTCTCTTCCTCCTGGACGTATTTTGATCATGTCTACTTGCAGATATTTCTCCTTTTGTGACTTAATTATTTGGCTTTCCATCATGGAATACTCTCCCCGTAGTCGCTTTATTCTTGTACCGAATATCACAACCTTACATTTGTTTGGATTAATATCGAACGGCCATTTGTCAAACCATTTCTCAAGTTTGTCCACGCTCAATTGATGCATTTTGTAGTCGTCTTTTTTTAGTGATCCGTCATTTTGATTTGTATCTTTGAAAAACAAACACAGGAGGATCCTACTTCGTCAGTTGATACAATTGAGATGTATCACAAGACGTATGAGTCCTAATACTAATCTCTGTACTCACCTAGTTGTGTTTGCGGGGATTGAGCTCTGGCTCTTTGGTCCCGCTTCTCAACTGTCAATCAACTGGTGTACAGAATCCACCAACTGGAGTGCTTCTGTGGTACTGCACTTTTGATGTCCCTCTTGTTTGATCTCTCCACTCGCGCTATTCTGTTAGTAAGGTATTCTCTCATCCAGTTTAATTTGCTGCCCTTAAATTCGGCTTGTTTCTCAAGCTTGTGCAGTAGCCTCCTGTGTGGAACTGTGCTGAAGGCTTTCGCACAGTCCAGAAAGATACGGCAAGTTCATCGTTATCTTTTCTGTGCGATTATTGACATTTTGTCATAGAACAGGTATGTCAAACATGACTTCTATTCTCCGAACCCGTGTTACACTTTTATCACACAATTTGTCCCTTCTAACTGTTCCATTCGATCTTCCCAATTCATTTATCTGTGATCTTTACAGAGGTTACATGTCAATAATACAGCCTTATAGTTTGTTCCTCCTGTCTATCCCTTTCGTATGTACTTAGTCTTTCAGCTGTCTGGTAGTTCTCCCCTCAACACTGAAGCACTGCAGATTATTGAAAGAAGTTTGGTGAGCGTTCCAGCTGCATTAATTGTCAGTCTTGGGGGACATTGTTTGATCTTGTGACTCAGAGCATCTCCGGCCTCAGGCGTGTTTCTCAGATCATCTGCCGCCACGTCTAACTTGAATGATGCTTAGTCTCTCATTCAAGGGTGTCATGTCCTCTAATTCTGACAGATGCTCAGCTTCTAGTTAAACACGCCATGGGACCTCTAATACTTTAAGTTTTCCTTGTCATTTTCCGTGCGGCTCCTTGCTCTTGTCTGATCACCTAGTTGTTTACAGACATTTTCCTCCAGATGTGGTTGTGCCCTTTATCCATTGATGTTATATTAATCTTGTGTTATCTTTCTGTCTTTATTTTAACATATTCTTTCTTCCTGTGGTTTGCTCGGTTCTTCTATGTCCTGTTCTCACTGTGCCTCTTCCAAACTAGTCTACTTGTCTTGCCAGCCTCAAGTCACTGTTAAAGCCAGGAAAGTCATTGTGCTCTGTTGCTTTGTCTCTTTGTGTCGGAGTGAATCTGTCTGCAGCTTCTGATCGTTTATGTGTGTGTGGGGGGGGGGGGGGAGGGGGTGATGGAGGTACTGCCGCCTGCCAGGCTTGGTCACGGTGTCAACCCCTTCCCCCCCCCCCCACACACACACACACAGAGTAGTGGGAAACACACACTCACACACGTGAGAGTAGTGGGAAAATGGAATGCACTTCAGGAACAGGTTGTGGAAGCAAATGCTATTCATAATTTTAAAACCAGGTATGATAGGGAAATGGGACAGGAGTCATTGCTGTAAACAACCGATGCTCGAAAGGCGGGATCCAAGAATCAATGCTCGATCCTGCAGACACAACTAGGTGAATACACACACCCACACACACACACACACACACACACACACACACACACACACACACACACACACACACACACACACACACACACACACACACACACACACACTCACACACTCACAAGCATGTAGGTTTTGCATCCCCCCGGGCGGCCGGCGGGGGGATACTTTGACAACTTCTATTTGTGTATCCATCTCTATCTTCCTTCTTTGTTGTACCCCCGTGTACCATTTACCACTCTCTACTCTCACGCACCACCTACCCCGTCGCACCTTCCTCTGCCCCCACTATCTTGGTGAGCACACGCCTCCAACGCCCATACAAGAACGTTTTCCGGCTGAAATTTGATAAATTCTAGTTTTTTGTAATAGAGAGGGAAGCTAGGGATAGTAATGACCTTGGTGGCGTTGTTGTGTAGGAAGTGGGTATGAATGTTGATGGTGAGGATTTAGGTAATTAGGAAGGAGGGAAGCTGGTTGCTGCTGTTTCCTGCCATCTTACGAGTCTGGTCCACTGGCCAGTGCAAGAGAGGCTCCGCTGACCCAACTTTCGCGCCACAGATGCAGAGGCGGATCTGGAAGCCAGACACGTACTTCAACAACGTGAAGGACGCCGAAATCCACCAGGTGACCATGCCCAACATCCTGCTGAGGCTCTACAGCAACGGCGACATCCTCTACAGCATGAGGTGAGTCCTACATCCCTCCCCCCTCCCCCCGCCATGTTCCACCGTGCTGGCGCCATCTGCGTTATCTTGACTCTATGGAATTTGGATGAATTTCCTTGACGTGTAGTGACCACTCCTCACATGTATTGACTTCTTCAGGCATTTTGATGAGTTCGGACCTTTTGTTGACATCTTCAGAATTGTTTTGGCCTATTCTGACCTCTTAATGAACCTCTCTTTGACTTTTTACTCGCTTGTTTATTTTAACCTTAATGGACGTCTTAATTAAAATGGGGTGTTACTTGGCGCTGGATTTTTTTTTTTTATTAAGATATGAGGTACATCTGCATTAGTGCAGCTACCCTAGACTATATGAAGTGGAGTACAGTGTGTCAAAAAAGCTAACTAGGTGATGCTAAAAAATCCCCATCACACAGGATGGTTAGTCATACAGAGCCATGTGTTTAGTAGCCTGCACTGGCAAATTTTGGGTACATTGTGAGGATATCTTCAAGAATACGAGAGTGAATAAAGTAATTACAAAGCTAACCCCCTGGGCAGTGAACTCTACGTTCTGCTCCCTTCAACATTCACTTATACTCGCAAATTGATTCTAAAAAACCTGTTTCTCCGTTATATGGGACAGGAAGTCTATACTTAGGCCTATCGAGGCTCCCCTTTGTCCAACCACTGACCTTCCCAAAGATACAACCCACAACAGTTGGAGTGAAGAGAGGCATCAAATGTAAGATACCATACTAAAGCGTCTCACCCTACATGGGAATCTAACCCTGGACCAATACAGTTGTGATCCACCTTGGCTGAACGCTGGTCTACGGGTCACCTTAAATGATTACCACGTGTCTTAATGACCCGTGTAAAGCGCCCGTGAAGGCGGGACTGACGTAAATAGCGGGGTGGACGACCGCCAGGAACCCTCGACGCTTGCGAACCCTTGAAAATCTTCCTGCGAGAAGATTTTATCCCGTGTGCCAGGCATGTCAGAGGCACTCTGCCATGTCTTGAGTCAGTCTTCATTAGGGAACTGTTGTGTCTTAGTTCTATAGTTATGTGGCCCTCATTCCCTCCCTTGTGTGCAGACGAGGAGTCACAATAACGTGGCTGAAATATGTTGACCAGACCACACACTAGAAGTTGAAGGGACGACGACGTTTCGGTCCGTCCTGGACCATTCTCTTGTGTGTGTGTCTTCGGTGCTCGGGAAGCCCACGTAATGTGCACTTGGCGTGTTTTGAATTGTTTTGACGCTAATATAAATGATATTGACACTTTACCTATTGTGAGGTGAGACTTGTGACGCTGACAGCTAGCTCCTTGTGTTAACACTTACCAGGCTACATTGACTCTTGACTACACGAAATGTTGTTAATTACCAGTGATGTTATCATTTAACACTAGTGATCTTTAACATTACAAGCACGACACCCTAAGTGTTATGTGAGGTCACTCGGGTCAGGGAGGTCACTGTCTGAGATTACCGGGGTCACCTTGGGTGTCAGACTCACCACAACGTTACACACCAGCCAAGGATGACATACGATGGGGACTTTACCCTCGGCATCTTGTCTACTGGCCTCGTATGGGCCATTAAACCCTCTTCAGTGTCTTATATGCCTATGTTCTAACCGGCCATACTTCATTACATCTCCATTTCTTAATTTTCCTTTCCTCCTCTCCTTCTTCCACATCCTCCTCCTCCTCCTTCCCTTTTTCCAAGGATGAGAAGGAGCCGTGACGTAGTGTACATCCTGAGGGCCAGCCCGGCTGTTGGTCGTGACCCAAGTGTGCGTGTACAGGCTGACAGCATATTAACTATTAGGGAAGCTGCCCCCTTAATCTCCCTCGGCAGCTGGTACCTCCCTCACCTGCCTCCCTCTCCTCCCTCACCTCCCTCACAACAAGGAGAGAGAGAGAGAGAGAGGGAGAGAGAGAGAGAGAGAGAAAGAGTGCCTTGCTGTAAGTGGTACTCGAACCCTTGGGGGGCGGAGGGCTGAAGGATGTGGAGGGAGGGGAAGGTGGTGTAGGAGACCGCTGACCGCTTCACCTTGTTGTCTGCAGGATCACGCTAAAGCTCTCCTGCAACCTGCAGCTTGAGCACTTTCCCTTTGACGAGCAGACGTGTGAGACGGCCCTCGCCTCCTGTAAGTAACCGCTCCAGTCCTCCTGCATCGCCTGCACCCACGCCTGCTGCTACTACTGCTGCTGCTGCTGCCTGTTGCTCTTAGTTCCTTCACTCTTCGTAATGTTGATTATTGCTCGACCATTTGTATGAGTTATGTCTGGGTGAAACACCTGGCCAGACACACACCCCCGGGGACCCCCAGGCAGTGTTGATGCCAGGTGTGGAGGTGACGTGACCACTTCTAGAGTAGGTAGCTTCCTCACCCTACACCCTGAGGCCCACTACACCACAACACCCCGTCCACCCACCTACACCCCGGCCCGCCGGCCCGCCCCCGACCCTAGTATCTCTCCAAATCTTAGTATATCCCTCACCTTACAACACTCCTCTCTCTCCCCCCCCCCCCCCCCCCCGCCCCCCCCCCGGTTTCGTCTCTAGCACCCGCCGCCCCCCAGCCCCCCTAACAGTTCTAAGTTCTAACAACCCCAGCCCCTCCCCCCTACCTCCCTCCTTCCCCTACCCGTAGGTCTAACAGCCCCAGGTCACCTCCGTGTTTGGCCCCGAGGGGCGAGTTGATTGGGCAGCGCCACTCATCCTGTGAGTGGACACACCGCCATAGCAGCATGTACAAACACTCCCCAATAGGAAGAAAACCCGCTGGGTTGTTCATTCTGTTATTTGCACCTAAACACAGCTGGGACTCCGTGTTTGGTCTTCTCTCTGTTACTCTCAACACTGTAGACTTAAAAGTATATGTTTGGTGTTGTAGTTGAACTACAAGGTAAGGTAATGCAATATTTAGCATCCATTAGTGGTAGAGTAAGAATGTTAAGGACTTTCATGGGTTACTAATTTACACCCAAGTAAACGGTGTGTGTGTGTGTGTGTGTGTGTGTGTGTGTGTGTGTGTGTGTGTGTGTGTGTGTGTGTGTGTGTGTGTGTGTGTGTGTGTGTGTGTGAGTGTGTGTGTGTGTGTACATGAACCAGGACCCATCAACACGGTACAATAACGTGGTGTTGACATGACCAGACCATCGTTTTGGAGAAAAAGAAAATGCTGTATTAACAGACATAATGTGACGCACTAAAAAAAATATATATATTTTTTACCACAAGTGGCTACAGGGAACAACACGACTTGTGACTCTTGTAAGCAGGTTTAGAACTCTCCCCTCCAGCCCCCCATTTTGAACTACCCTGCTAGTTTCCCCTGGAACACGAACCGCTAAGAAGTTTACAACCACTTTCCCAATTACTCTTCGGTGAACAGTTCAGGATCGGTGCCCCAGTCAAGCCTTCCTAAGCAAGAATTGAAGACTTTGCCATTAAGGACATGAGTAGTAGGGACCAGGTGCGGGCTGTGAGGTAGTGAGTGTGTGAGGGAGACCTCGAAGTATGAGACAGGTGTGAAGTGCTGGGTCAGGAGAGAGAGAAGACAGTGTTCCTGCCTTCATCTCACCACCCAAACCAAAGTCAGCTAGTCGTGGGTGGTGACGGTGGGTAGTGTTGTGGCCTGAGGAAGGCGATAGTGAGGATACAATACGCGTTTCATTATGCTTGGGCTGTGTTGTGACGGGCGTGCGGTGAGAGGCGTGCGCACTACAGGGTGTTCGGGCTTGGGTTCACTTGGTCTCCCCACCCCTGGCAGGGTGACGCTGACGCTCGCCTGCAGTATGGAGTTTGAGAACTATCCCTTCGACGCGCAGGTGTGTGGCTCCTCCATCAGTTCCTGTGAGTACTCCGCCCATGCTCTCTCCTCCTCCCGCTTTACCCACAACATGCCTGCATCTTACACCTTATTTCCCAACAGCTTTGGTGATCACTCCTCATCATTCCCCCAAAATAATAAGCTTCCATACTTACCCATTTGAAACAGCTTTCGCCAGTTAAACAGACAACCTCGCATCTTCCTGCCCTCTCCAAAACTGCTTGCACGTTCCTCCGGCGCACACTTGAGTGTTGTGTCTTAATCTCCAGGGGGCAGCGCCCCCGCGCGGCCCCTGGAGAGGCGCTGTGTTCAAGGTTGTGGTGCTGGCGGTCTCCTGGTGGTTGGTTCCTCCTCTGTGTGAGGTGTGTGCTGCTGTACAACCCTGTACACTGTGTGTGTGTGTGTGTGTGTGTGTGTGTGTGTGTGTGTGTGTGTGTGTGTGTGTGCGTGTGCGTGTGTGTGTGTGTGTGGAAGGGCTCTGCTGGGTGGTGGATGCTGCATCTCTGCACGTTGATCTGACCAATTAACATAATTATTAACGCTATGTGAAGGTATTTAGAGGTATAAGCCTGGCAATATATATATACTCAATCTACTAACTTCTAGATTCAGAGTTTAGTATGTCATTATACTATAATACTATCATCACCATCAGTGGTCTCAGGATGAATCAGATCATACAATCATCACCATCAGTGGTCTCAGGATGACACAGACCATACAATCATCACCATCAATGGTCTCAGGATGACACAGACCATACAATCATCACCATCAATGGTCTCAGGATGACACAGACCATACAATCATCACCATCAGTGGTCTCAGGATGAATCAGAGCATACTATCATCACCATCAATGGTCTCAGGATGAATCAGAGCATACTATCATCACCACCAGTGGTCTCAGGATGAATCAGATCATACAATCATCACCATCAGTGGTCTCAGGATGAATCAGATCATACAATCATCACCATCAGTGGTCTCAGGACACCACCACCATTGTCAGTGGTTGTCACCACATAAGCCACATAAGCCAGCATAAGCCATAAGCCAGCATAAGCCATAAGCCACATAAGAGGTCACCACATGAGCCAGCGAGTGACACTTGTCGCCTCGTGTCTCACCACTACAGCTGTTCACACCACAACACACGTGTTGTATTCATTGATATTGTTCATGTTGTCCTCTGGCCGTCTCAGATGCCAACACCGTTGACGTCATCACCTATGAATGGGTCAAGGTGGACCCGATTCAACTGCCGGATGAACTGGAGATCGCCCAGTTTGACCTTCTCAGCCACGAAACAGAGAGCTTCACCCAGCACTTCGTTACAGGTCAGTATAATGCTATATGTATGCAAGATAGTTCACTGTATACTGACCTTTTGTAGCACATAGCAGTGTTCCGGTTAGATAACGGTTACTCTGGCACTGACCAAGGGCTTATAAGAACTAGGAGCAAGATTTATCAAGGATTTACGTGTCTCAGTTACGAACCCTCGTTGAGTTGATCTTACAAGGGATCTTAGCACTCTAAGGGGCTATGGAAACATCACCCCAGTTCATGAGTTTATGAAACTCTTGACATTTGAGCTATTACAACATGGTAAACTTTGCTTCTGGTTCTCGCCAGAGCATTAGACACATCCAGGATTAACTATAGTACGTGTAATATTTCCTTCCTGTAGGTAATTTCAGCGGACTGAAGGTCCACTTCAGCCTGCGGCGCCAGAATGGCTACCATGTCCTGCAGACCTACGTGCCCACCATCCTTATCGTGTCCATCTCTTGGGTGTCCTTCTGGCTGGACCCCAACGCCGTGCCCGGCCGGGTGTCTCTGGGCGTGACCACGCTCCTTACTCTCACTACCCTGGCCTCGGGCATCCGGGCTCAGCTCCCTCCCGTCTCCTATGTCAAGGTACGTGCGCTTCTCCCGCCTCTTCTGTCAAGGTACGTGCGCTTCTCCCGCCTCCTCTGTCAAGGTACGTGCGCTTCTCCCGCCTCCTCTGTCAAGGTACGTGCGCTTCTCCCGCCTGTGCTGTCAAGGTACGTGCGCTTCTCCCGCCTCCTCTGTCAAGGTACGTGCGCTTCTCCCGCCTGTGCTGTCAAGGTACGTGCGCTTCTCCCGCCTCCTCTGTCAAGGTACGTGCGCTTCTCCCGCCTCCTCTGTCAAGGTACGTGCGCTTCTCCCGCCTGTGCTGTCAAGGTACGTGCGCTTCTCCCGTCTGTGCTGTCAAGGTACGTGCGCTTCTCCCGCCTCATCTGTCAAGGTACGTGCGCTTCTTCCGCCTCATCTGTCAAGGTACGTGCACTTCTCCCGCCTCCTCTGTCTATATATATATATATATATATATATATATATATATATATATATATATATATATATATATATATATATATATATATATATATATATATATATATTGCTGTTTAGGCGGGTATTGTCACCTTTTCAGTTCAACAAAAAAATAGTGTTTTTGTCGAGATTGCAGTTTGCAAATACCTTGTTTACTTAAAGCCAATGTTGCCCCTTGTTGCAGGCCATAGACGTATGGATCGGCATGTGCATGATCATGGTGTTCGGCGCCCTGCTCGAGTTCACCCTCGTCAACTGGCTGGCCAACAAGAAAATCGTCAACCCGGCCTCCAAAATCTTCAAGATCCCTAAGGCTGTAAGTTAAATAATTGCGTCCCCCCATATTAACGCTGTTATCTGCAGCTTAACTCCATCGTGTGGACTGTCTTTTGTGTCGTGTTGTTGTTGTTGTCCAAGGGCCAGATTCACGAAAGCACTTACGCAAGCACTTATGAACCTGTACATCTTTTCTCAATCTTTGGCTGCTTTGTTTCCAATTATTGAACAGTTAATGAGCTCCGAAGCATCAGGGGGCTGTTTATAACAATAACAACAGTTGAATGGGAAGTTTTCATGCTTGTAAGCTGTTTAATAAATGTAACCAAAGCCGTCAAAGATTGAGGAAAGATGTATACGTTCGTAAGTGCTTGCGTAAGTGCTTTCGTGAATCTGGCCCCAGGATGGAAGATGGCTGCCAGGTTGTTGAGTCGTTACAATAAGGTTATAACTACCAGGTTATATAATATTTACATATTATTAATTACAGAAAGGGTGAACTGCTTTAGTATACTGTATATTAAAGTCTCATCCTGATTGATATATTATAACGGGGCTTTGCCAAGTTTAAGTAAATGGATATTTTGCTTAGATTCTGTGGTCTTGGTCAAGTATGACATTATTATCTTTTAATTAATCTGTAATACTTGGATGAATATTGAATTTCCTTAATATAGTTCTACTTATTGTATTTTTTGTTTTCTGAAACTTGGTGAAATTACATGACGTTTTTAAATTATCAATTATGATGTGGACTTCGTGTTCCAGTTAATATTAAAGTGACATTTCTTATGGGCCTTCCTCATTAAGTGGGAGTTCCTTAAGTGACTGTGAGTGAACCACAAGGTTGTCTTCTGCAGAAGAGTCACGCCCTGTACAACCTCTCCACCTGGAGTCCTCTCAGGTCCTCTCCCAGGAATTTCAGAATTTAATTTCACTCATATAGCAATAAGTTTATTATTGCTTGACCTTTGTACAAGAGGTTAATGAGTATAAATAAAAGGTGAATGGAAGGTTAATGAGTATATCAAATATAAGCTTCAGAAAACGGTTGTTCAGGTGTTGACTGTTCGGTGAACATGTGTTCAGTGTTCAAGTATTGTTCTGATCCTATCCTCCTCACTGTTATCAAACTGTTGCTTGGTTCTTGGACTCTATAGTTTTTATCTCAACTCCACTCGAGACAAGACTATTATTTTGTATTACCTATTAAATATGTATGTGTAACTCTTAAGTCACCATTATTTCATCTCTATTTCAAGAAAAAATCGTGACAAAATTAATTTAATTTATTTTAATAATTAAAATAATATTTTAAAAATTATATAATTTTTAATTCGATGCATCTGTTAAGTTTATTTGTTAATTATTTACTTTGATGCATTTATTGTTTGGTATAATATAAAGTAATTTTATTTCTCATATTGTCTCGGTCATTACGTTATGTAAAGCCAACTTGGTCTCATTGTATATAAGTAATTCTATATTGTCTGTTTCCCTTATTACAACACCTCATTCCATCTCATTTCCATCCACAACATTTATGATCATACCTCACTTGTCCCATATTATTGTGAGGAAATATACACAGTAAATGTTTTTATATACACAGTAAATATACACAGTAAATGTTTTTATATACAAAATAAATATATACAGTAAATCTTTCATACCGTACTCAGGGCCTCATCCACAGGAGGCAAATGTTTGGTACTCTACTCTATACAAATGTCAGTTTACTCATTATTGTAGTGTCAGGCTCACCGTTTTTTCATACCATCCTAGAATGTTGCACGGTCAAGGCCGGATTGGGCCGGCTTTCAGAAAATTGGGCCAACTAGGTAGGTATTGGCCGGCCAGATGTGAATTTGCTTGGCCAGAGAGGAATTGTGGTGGTCAGGGAATATTTGGACCGACAATGGGGAAAATTATTCCAATCAGGGGAAGAGAATTTTGCCAGGCAGGAAGTACTCGTTCGATTCTTGGAGAAGAATCGAACCAAGGTAACTTACCCGAAGAAGGTCTGGAGAGCCAACTCCATCTGGTCCACAAAGTGGCTGGGTGGTGATTTACCCGGTGTCCCCACCAGCCCAATCCGGCCCCTGTCACATACACACCTATCCCATTAGTGACTTAATGTTCCACTAATCCATCTTGAAATTTCTTCTAGAATATGACTTGACCATTATTACCTTACCTCATGTGTCCCTAAACTGTGTGGTGTTGTTGTTGGTTGTCCTCCTCCTTGTGTGGCGTGGACGCGAGCAGCTGGCCGGCTCCGACGCTCAAGAGGTGGGATGTCACGATGTTCTTGATGAGAAGGAGCCTGGGCAAGAAAAACAAGTACTAACATTATTACTAGAATATCTTTTCCCTCCCTTGTCTGTTACTCATAATAGTTTTACTCTCACTCGCTTTGTTTTTCCTCCTCTGTGTTGTGTACGTGTGGTTGGTTGTGAGTAGAGTAGGCTTCAGCGCTCGGCTCTGAAGCCTAGTACGCTTAATCCTAGGTAATTAATCCTCTACTCACTGCTGTGCTCAGTGACCTCTATGTTGACCTCTATATCCTCTTCTTAATTGTACTCTCACGTGCTATTCTTCACAAATTTCAAAACAGCGATGTGGATTACTACACAGTTGGTTAAATGTTGTAACTGGCAAGTTTTAAAGTTGATCCGTGCATGATGCATGATTTACCCATTCATTGCATGCCACAGCATGGCCCTGGTACTTTGAACTCCTTGGCATAATTCTCCATAATGCTGAATGTCAATGCCTAACTTCGAAAGTTTGGTCTGCATCACTGTTGAATTATTGTCAATTTTTTAAGAAATGTGCAAGTTGGCCATAACCTGTGTTGTGTATTTATACTTCAATGAACTTTTCAGTGATCAGTTTGAATAAAATGCATTAATTTTTAACACATATGGAAAATATATACAGTATAATTAATCTGAATTAGTCTCAATATGGAAGGCAAATTTGGATTCTTGTTATTATATAGACATTGTGGTCACTATGGCACCTCACTTACCAAGAGTACGACCATTAACTATGTTGATTAAGGTCTCCTGATGAACCACATAAGAGCACGTCTAGCAATAAGTCAAATACAAAAAAAACTGTACTCATAAATGGTTGTTCATTTATTATTGAGTTTACATGAAATTTCTTAACAAATGTTGCCACAATTTAAAATGTCAAGATCAGACGTTATGTAGAGACACAGCCATGCACGACAAGGCTGTTAATGTATTGAACAAAATGTATTGAACATGTTATAATGTTGAACATATTAATGTATTGAACAATAATACACCCAGACAACTCCGTCAAGAGGTTAAGACACTATGTGGGATCACTGGACTGTTTCAAGCGTTGGTTAGACATGTATATTTTTATGTGAATGATTTCTAGTGGATATAAGTGGAAGCTGACTCATATGAACCAATCAACCCGTTCTCGCAAATTTAATAAGTCAATATTGACTTATTAAATATGTGCATAGGTGACATACTTAACATAATAGATACCCTTAAAAAGATTCATAGAAAACACCGACCTTACCTAACCTACTTAGTATGTTAAGATAAGCATCTTATTGCTTCGTAATTGCAATTATTACCTAACCTATAATAGGTATAGGTTAAGTAATAATTGTAATTACGAAGCAATAAGATGCTTATCTTAAGATACTAACAAGGTTAGGTATGGTTGGTGTTTTCTATGAATCTTTTTAAGGGTATCTATTATGTTTAGTATATCACCTATGCACGTAGTTAATAAGTCAATATTGACTTTACGAATTTGCGAGAACGGGTTGGAACCAATAGACCTTCCACAGTTTTCTTTATTCTTATATTCTTAATGTTAAACTTATTAAGCTATAAGGCAGAACAAGAACCAAAAAGCTGTTGTTCTCCCAGAGAACAATGAAGCTATAGAAGCTATGCCCAACAAACCGTCTAAGCCAGGACAGAGCTATGATTCAAATTACAGCTGGAATAACTTATCATTAGGAATGGGAAGCCTTCACAAGCCAATGGCTTCCTGTCCCATCCACGACCACTAGAGGCAGTGGCTATCAGATACACTGAGTTAAATACAAAAGATCTAACACGTCTGAATATTAAGAATAACGTTTCTGGTAATGTCTATTGACTAGAGTGACGGTCATTCGTACAAAACTCGGAACGAAAGCTTAATAATTTTAACCTTGGTTTGTGTATTTGGAGGGTAAAGCAGTGAGAGATGCGTCTAGTAAAGAGGCGGGTAAGAATAATGAAGGTTCACTTCCTTCATATTAATAAGGATTTCATGCAAGCCTTTTATCTAGATTTTTTCTGATGGTCTGCCATTTTAGAAACTAATAAGAGCATGCATGTTTTTATTCATGACTTGTATTTTTTGTTTCACTGTGAAATGGTGATAATGTAGAGGAATCACCCCCTTATTATTTCATAGTTTGATGTTACAGTGTTTCACCAGAAAGCTCTGCACAAACACACACACACACACATACACACTGCTATTTGACATTATAGAGAAAATTACTCAAAGCGTAACACAAAATTGTAAGCTGGGAACTGCAACATTATATCACAGGTAGTTGAAGTTCCGTAGAGATGTGACTAATGTGTGTGTGTCCATGGACCCAACAGGTGGCAGAGGACGTCGAGGACCCCGCCGCCAAGGCGCCCAAGACCTACATGAACCACGCCCGAGCGTTTGATCGTCTGTGTCGAGCTCTCTTTCCCATAACCTTCTTCGTCTTCAACCTCATCTATTGGCCCTACTACCTCACCGAGCAACACAAGGCTCTCCAGGTGCCCGACTAGATCTCTCATCAAGTTATGGCGCTGACTTTTGGCATCTACTTGTGTCATTTGGTATCTACTCATGGCGGTGACTTTGGTAGAAACTTAATCGCGCTGATTTTAGTATCAATTTATGGTGCTGATTTTGGTATCAAAATATGGTGCTTAATTTAGAATCAACTCGTGGTGCTGACCTCATTATAAACGTGCTGATTTTGGTAACATCTAACGAAGTTTAGCATGAAGAGTCTTTACCTTTTTTTTAATACAAGGCTCCAGAGGGAAGGTAGAACAACGAAGCTTTGAGTGTATAAGAAGCCTACTTGCGTAGGTGCGTATGTATGTACATTACTATTCTGACCACTACAAAAATGGTCTAGCAATCCGTTTTCTCGTCCACATTTGGTAGGGCTCTCTGCATTTATAGTCCTCAGTTTATTGATAGCGAATTTAATAGATTAGTTTGGGGCCAATCTCTACTGTCTAAAAATATAATTGATATTATTTTAAAACAAGCCAAAATAACAATTTATAATCCACGCACAAGGAAGGTATTTATACAAAAATATACTGCACCTTTTGTTTACAGAAAGCATAACAAAGTAGTCTTATAACTCAAAACTGTTTAATGTTAATGTTGTATTTACGAATTTGAATACCGTTAAAAATTTCAGTTTCTAACAGCAGTTATGTTTATGAAATCCCTTGTAAAAGTTGTGAAAAGTGCACATTGAAGAAACTGGTTAGAATTTGAACAAAATTAAGAAAATATCTCTAATGGTTGGATAGTGGATTGTTTGTGCACATGAGACTACAATCATCCAGTTGATTGGAATAACACTAAAAAATGGTCTCTTGCAGATCACTCATAGACAGAAATATGGTGGAAAAGATTTTAATAAAATGTATTGATAATATTTCAAGTTTAGACTTGGATTAGATAAGTTGAACCCATTTATTGTTTACAAACGTGCAGGGAAAATGTAAAAAGATTATTTTATTTGTTTTGCTTCGGATCTCCCTTTTGATTGGCCTTCACCGTTGCTTGCAAATATTGTAGATTCATTATAAATGTATTATTCCTCTCCACTGGGATCAAATATCATCGATGGAATTCGCCACAGCCTAAGGACAATTTATCCGTGCTCAGGTTTGTTGTGAAAGCTCACCCATATTGACCTACTGATCTGTCATGTCAATCATGAAGAAATTAACACGTAATGAAAAATGTGACAAAAGAAGTTAAGCATGTCATTAACTAAACAGCTAATATTAACCATCCATTGCATAATATTTTATCTAAATTTGTGTGTGTGTTAGGTGAAATGTTTTGTCTTAGTTCTTGTCTTGTCCCTCTTCAGGACTGAAGACCTAAATGCCAAGCTAAGATGTCTCGTCTCTGCCTGCATCTTGTTTGATCTTCACGTGGTGTTGGTAACACTGGAGACTGTGCAACTACAGTGCTGCCAGTCATGTGGACCGTGTAAACATTGAGATTACCAATACGTACCATGCACACACAGAGTCAGTCACTGTCATCATGTGTACATGTTGATAATACCGATGCACATCATGCACTGTTTGCACACGTACCAACCAAATGCCCTAATGCAATGTATTTTCCATGATTGATCTGTTTATTTGTTGATCTACTCTGAGTGTTGATGTTGAACTCCACTAGAGATTTTTTTACTGAGTGTTGATGTTGGGTTCCACTAGAGGTCTCTCTCTTTAACCCACAAACTCTTGGCCATAGCTCTATGCAGCATCCCCCTCTCACCTCTGCATGTTATTATGAAACTCTTTTCTCTTGCTGCTTGAAGAAAGGTTGCAAGGAGGCCCTCTTCTGATGCGGGAAGTCTTATTGCTTTCTTTTATAACATGTAAAGCTTCAGAGCACTTCAGGTTAAGTGTGTTCCTATTCAACGAGTCTACACCAGGAATTATTACGGTAAAGTTGTCAATTTTCAGTGCATTTAAGGATGTCAGAGAATAATATGTATCTTTGACTTGATTAGTTATCATTTTTTCAGACACTATTTAAAACGTGGGTTTTCATTATGATAAGCATGACAAACTGTATGAGGGATTATAACAAATGTAGAATAAAACCTGTAATAGAGATATATTGGTTGAATATTCTTTTGCTCACGCTACTTTACCTATTAAGTGGTGTTTATAAATATTGTATTAATAAATATTGATGTAATATTACAATTTTGTATGTTTTATTATTAAAATAGGTACTGTATTGCAAGTACTTTCGTAAGTATTAGAGCAAGTTTGGTACAGCTTTTTTAATGGTAAGTAGGCCTATGTCTTAAACAACATTTACTGCTAAGTAGGCTTATATATCTTAACCCACATTTATGACTAAGTAGCTCTATATTTCTATGAAACAACATATACTGCTAAGTAGGCCCTATGAGATATCGTTCTTAAAACAACATTTATATAACTGAACATCCTTCAAGTTTCTTGTAGCTTGAAGACTATTTTGATTTTGTAGAATAGTTTTAAAGTAGAGTTTAAGACGTCATCAAGACTCAGGAAATCAAATATAAATTACCCAATATTCAAAGGAATCCGTGTGTGAAAAGTGTTATAGCACAAGGGAAGTTTGCTTGTAATGCTTAACACGGTCGGTAAAAACTCAAGCTGTGGCATTTGTTAGTATAGTTATGCTGTTATAGCTTGGCTGGAGGAAGGAACATAATGTCATTCTCGTTTTGTTTATCAGACCAAACAAACCCCTAGGCCACCGTGCCGTATAAACTCCAGGAGTAATAAGGTTAAGTGTAAACAAGGGTGTGTTTGCTAACTATGTTTTCTACTCTTTTTTTTTTTATCAAGTTTTGACGGTGTTAATGCACCATCTTCATCTTGCCCATAGTGTTGGTGTATTTTAACATGGCATTCTGAGTATTTCAACATTACGTACTGGATATTTTAACATTTATAAGCTGGATTTTTTAACATTTGCAGGCTTTGTATTTTAACACTGCAAGCTGGGTATTTTAACATTGCATGCTAGGTATTTTAACATTGCAAGCTGTGTATTTTAACATTTACAAGCTTTGTATTTTAACATTGCAAGCTGGGTATTTTAACAATTGCAAGCTCGGCATTTGAACAGTTGGAAAGGTGAGTATTTAAACAATGCAGCTGGGTATCTATACATTGCAAACTGGATATATACATTGTAAGCTTGGTATTTTAATATTGCAAGCTGGGTATTTTAACATGGCAAGCTGGGCATTTTAACATGGCAAGCTGGCAATCTTAATTTTACAAGCTGCGTATTTCAATGTTGCAAGCAGGAAATTCTTATATGCACTGCCCTTAATCTTAAGCAACATTTCCCTTAATACTGAGATTGTAACTAAGTTATGGGAGGTGTTTCTGTGATGTGTGACCTTATAGTTAACATTATCAATACAACATATATGTGAGGTTTTTATTATAAATATCAGACATCAATATTAGAGTTGTGTTGCTAGTGTTTTGGAGTTTGGACCTGTGTCGTATTAACCCTGGTATTATCCTGGGTATTAACCCTGGTATTATCCTGGGTATTAACCCTGGTATTATCCTGGGTATTAACCCTGATATTAATTCTTTAATCCAAATATTAACTCTATAGCATTAACATGGATATTAACCCCTTATATTAACACTAGTATTAACCAGGTTATTATATATATTCTTACTTGTTTCTTTAGCATTGAAACTTAAACTATCTTAAGTTACAGAACGTACAAATTAAATAATTATCTTACCTCAAATACAACCTGCTACTGTGAAGTTCCTGTAAGATATGTAAGATATATTACCTCTCACGTCAATCATTAATGACTGCAGTTATTATAAATCATTTTGTTTTTGATAGAACCAAGTTAATGTATAATTCCTCATTACTGTAAGTACTTAAGAGGTTGTGATATCCATGAAGCCTAGTCAGTTCCTTGCGTAGCCCAAGACAGTAGATGTATATGTGAATGCTGGTGATAATGAAGAATATGTGTAGCATAGCACATAGTAAAGTATATTTTGTCTTCATTAACATGAACACATTCTACTCGCCTTCAATCTTCTAAGCAAATATTATACAATATTCAATTCATTTAAGCTTCATAGTTCAGGTGTTTCACCCAACTGAAGATGTACACCTTGTGTGAGATTGTTCTATTAAATTTGTATATAATTTTGTTTATTTTATTTACCACCACAATCTTATGTCTGCTGAAATGTACTTTAAAAATTTAACTTTTTTTTTTACCTCAGGAAACACCTAATTCGGTGTAGGTTGTATTCATTTCATCATAACACAACTATTTTCCTTATCATAGCTCATCAAAACACTGTATCTACTAATATTTCGTTCATTTTAAAATCTATCTAAAACGATCTATTTTTAGTGTGAAATGCTATTATTATATGCATAAATTGTTGTTTTAATAATATTACGCTTAACCACTTGGGCTGGACGGTAGAGCGACGGTCTCGTTTCCTACAGGTCCGCGTTCAATCCCCGACCGCCCAGGAGATTGGGCACCATTCCTTTCCACCGTTCCATCCCAAATCCGTATCCTGATCCCTTCCCAGTGCTATATAATCGTAATGGCTTGGCGCTTTCACTTGATAGTTCCCCCACCCCCCTGAATAAAGAAACTCTGCCCATTGTTTCTCGCCGGCGCCTGGGATCGAACCCAGGACCCCAGGATCACAACTCCAGCGTGCTGTCCGCTCGGCCGACCGGCTCCCAGAGAGCAGTATTTACGGGCTATTCATGCCCGTGCCACCTCTTGGGTGGCTTAATCTTCATCAATCGAGAGCAGTACGTCCTAACAAGACGTGATATGATGATATCCTGAACAGTTGATAAATAAAAGTAATTGCGGAACTCCAATTATCTAATACTTATCATAAATGGTATAAAACCTTATCATAAGCCAAGGGATTTATTTGTAGATTAGTGTTTAAAGGGAATTCGGAAGTACTAATAACACAGCTGATGCCATCTGTCGGCAGAAGAGAACACTATCAAATGGCTGGTCAACAGTGGCCATAAGATACAGCTTACGCCATCTCTTGACATCAAATTACACTTATAACAAATTACCCTGCAAAATACAACTAGCGCCATCTCTTTTTTTCCAACGCACTACAAATAGCCAAACAGCAACCCATAAGGCGGGTTGTTGTGCTCGGGTAGGAGGTTCCAAGCTCCGCCCACAAGTGGTATGGGGTGCATAATAAATGACATATCATTGGTAGATATTCTTTGTTGACATTCACACAACAGCCAATCACAGGAAGGGATCAGCTAAAGGCTCCATCCACTTAATAAATCATCTTTATTCAGCACACCATCCTTGCTTATGACATTCTGCTTCAACTTTAATCTACCTAAAAAGTGAAATGTTAAGTATTTAAAAATATTAATATAGTGATAATTAAATACTACAGGATGTAACGAGTGTTACAGAAACACTTTGCTGGCTACCTAACTTGAGACGTTATTATTGGGGGGTTGCCTTGACACAAATAATGATACACTGCTCTGCCCTCTTATTCGAGTAAATTATTCAGTTAGATGGAGATTTCTGTCAGGTGCAAAACAGAAATTGTTGTTCTTTTTCACAACAACCTTGTTGTTGTGCACAAGGACCTATTTCTTAGTTTAAATTTTATTCATAAAAGAGTGTTGGTATTCCCCGCAACAGCCAATCACAGGAAGGTATTTCTGGAAGCTCGGCCTCCTTATGGACTCAGCTCATGGCTCGCTGTTTCATCTCTTGTATATACAAACTATGACTTTTTTCGATTAGTTATAATTAATAATATGAGATATAAAAGTTTTTACACAAAATGGCTAAATTCTGCCATTAAATGAACTTTGTCTGGTATACATACAAACATACACCAATTTATTACCATTCATCCATTATTAATTTCAAATGTAATGTATACTGTCTAGTTTTTTTCCTCTCGCCATTACTTGGTGCAATATTTGAAAGTTGTCTATTTATTTATCGATTTATCTATTATCTTGTATTTATATTTACAAGTTTCTGTGCTTGGAAGAAAACTCTGCATTGAATTGGGACTAATTTATTAAATAATATTATTTAGTATTAATTAATATTTACAATTATTATTAATTACAATTATTTATAGCTTAGTTACTTTTATGTAACTCGCAATCGTACATTCTTAACATTAATAGCCCAAATTAGCACATCTTGCTTTTAAATTAGCCCAAAAAGTAGCAAGTAGCGAAATTAAAAATTTGGGAGCGCGGGGCTCAAAAGTAGCCCAATTCGCTATTTGTAGCCCAATCTGGCAACACTGCTGTAGGGTAAGGCAGGTCCTAGTCAACAATGGCTTCTCTAACGGTTTTGTGGAAGACGTTTCAAAAAGAAAGGTGAAACGCCATGTAACCTCTGAAGAGTCAAATAACACAACACTTGTACCCCCAATTAGACTTGTAGCGAGTAAACCTTATACTCGCTCCAATCTCTCATTATCTTAATGGCATAACTAATTAGCACTAATTACAGAAGCTATAATCTTTTCCCTAATTACAGGTAACAGTTCTTCCATCCTCCTATCTTATTGGAGGAAGCTGAGGTGTAGTCACCATATATAAGCAAGCGATATGAGAATAACCAACACGGGAGACATCTCCCGTCACGCAGGGTGCAGTTGCACCTCCACAGATCTCCAGTATCAGCTCTTGATACTGGTAATGGCTCAAAAGGGCCACCACTTACGAGCTATTCATGCCCGTGCCACCTTTTGGGGGGCTTCATCTTTATCTTAACACATTAACAAGGGAGACATCTCCCGTCACGCAGGGTGCAGTCGCACCTCCACAGATCTCCAGTATCATCTATTGATACTGGTAATGGCTCAAAATGGCCACCACTTACGGGCTATTCATGCCCGTGCCACCTTTCGGGGGGCTTCATCTTTATCTTAACACATTAACAAGGGAGACATCTCCCGTCACGCAGGGTGCAGTCGCACCTCCACAGATCTCCAGTATCATCTATTGATACTGGCAATGGCTCAAAATGGCCACCACTTACGGGCTATTCATACCCGTGCCACCTTTTAGGTGGCTTAATCTTCATCAATCAAATCGAATAACCAACAGTACAATTTCCACAGTCAAGAATGCAGTTCTAATCGTTTCCAAGACGCTACAGCTTTGACACAGAACAGACAACAGATTAGGACCGCATCGAGCTACAACGCTCTCCCACATAGAGCTCCGCGACTCCGGCCACACTCAGCTCTCTGTTCTGCTCCAAGCTCCGTCTCAACGTCTACAACACTGCTGTATCCAAGACTACTAAATAAATATGAAAACCCACTAAACACCGTGTATCTAATCTACTCAACAACGTAACATAATCGTACGTTACAGACTGTTTTACAGGAACTTCTTTTCGACGGCTCATAAAATGGAGGAAAGGGTCCTGAAAGACATTATTGATGGGAACGTTATCCCTACAGGCAAAAATCAGAAAATACAATTGACAATTTACTACAAAAGCAAAAAAACGGCCAAACTACTCATGAAATACTCCCCAGACACCAAACAGAACGCCCTGAAGGAAACCAACGTCGTCTATGCCTTCACATGCCCGCTTGGGGACTGTAAGCCCCAAAGAACTCAGTTTATAGGCAAGACAACAACGTCTCTTTCTAGGCGATTAACTATGCACAAACAACAGGGCTCCATCATGGAACATATAATCTCTTTTCACAACCAGACCATCACCAGAGAAATCTAAAGAAGCAACACTGAAATCATCGATAAATACAGCGATAGCGGGAAACTCGATATCAGCGAGGCACTACACATCAAAAAGTCAACACTAGCAATCAACAGCTAATTAATGCACAACTATATTCTACCCACTTCAAGACCCCGAACCAGCATAGAAGTAGCAAGAGGAAGTATGGGCCAATAGGCCTTCTGCAGTTACTTCCATTCTTATATTTTCATACCCAATTTATACCCATTGATTCGTGTTCTGGCATATGCTCTGTCACCTCACCCAAAACTTTTGTTCCATATCACCTCACCCAAAACGAGTATAAGTATGATGTATTTTATGTGTAAACACAACGGGCTCACCATAGCCCGTGCTACATGGACATTTCGTTCTGAGTAGCTAAATCTAAAACAACAACAACAACATGTGTAAACTAAGTCTTTGAAAATGTAATAAGCATTACGAAATGGGTTCAGGCGTCAGACCAGAAGTAAAGAATGAATTTTGGAGAGTTAATTTATCAATTACCCTCGACAGTGAAGGAGAATGTAAGAAATATTGAGAAGATTCGTGTTATAATTATTAATCTTACCCTTTCGATCATATTCAACAACATATGTTTATAAGAAAGACTGCTACCAAAATATACTAATATATATTATCTCCCAAGGTCACCCACTATGGTTAGCGATGAGCATTCGTTTTCTATCAGTCAATTGCATTACTAGAGAGAACTCAAGCCACCATATTCACACGTAAACTTGTCTAAACCATAAGTCAAAGTTAAACACACAAAAGGTAAACTGTGTTTACCTTTTACTTGTGGTTTAGGCAAGTTTACATATATATATATATATATATATATATATATATATATATATATATATATATATATATATATATATATATATATATATAGATACACAGATTTACGTATGCCCTACATAGAGTGTTCGATAGGTCTTTTACATAGTGTCATTAATGTGCATTTACAAAGGTGAAATGTAATTCTGATCAGCTTCCATATATACTTTATACACATACATATGTATACACACACATATACGTACATATACATACATATACACACACACATTCCAGGAGGTCTTCACCTTAGAACAAGGAGAAATTCCAGAGGTAAGTGAGGGAATAGCTAACCAGGAACCACTGGAAGAGTTTGAGATTACCAGTGGGGAAGTAAGGAAGTGTTTACTAGAGTTGGACGTGACGAAGGCTATAGGCCCAGATGGAATCTCCCCTTGGGTTCTAAAGGAAGGAGCAAGAGAACTGAGCCTACCACTCTCCATAGTGTATAACAAATCACTGGCAACAGGGGAACTGCCAGATACTTGGAAAGCAGCTAACGTAGTCCCGATATACAAGAAAGGGGATAGACAGGAGGCACTGAACTACAG